AAATAAATTTAAAGATGTAGTCATATATATAGCATGCAAAAATTGACTAAATTAAATGAATTTATATTATATTTTAGTGGCTAAATCAAACAAATATCAAAACTTGCGTTGAACAGAAAAAATGTACCAATGATATTTTTCTTATGGTTTTGAGAGCAAAATCACCTTTCTTTTTGGTAGAACATGAGAGCCCAGTTCACATCTTGTTCATGATAAAAAACAACCCTACAACCCTACCAAAGGCATTCTCTAGCTGTTAAAAAAAAAAAACAAAACAAAAAAAGGCATCCTCTGGCTGTTCGAAAAAAAAAAAAAAGGCATCCTCTGGAAAGCAATCTAACGGATACAGTTGCACCATATATATCTGGACATAGCATCCGCAGCCTCAATGGCTTCCTTAAAGGGGTGTGAACAGTGCTGTATCTTTCATACCTGCTTAGCCAAGACTATTTTATGAAACCAAAGACAGCGACTCACAGTTTCACTCATCCAAAATGTGACAGTATTTTTTTTAAGAGTTAGGATAAACTTATACAAAAATTTTATACATAACTCTTATACACAATTTTAATTATTTATTTCTCTATTATGACAGAGATTTATTTATTTTTTATCTATTTTTTTAAATGTTTATTATTTTGATCTAAAAAATCGTTATAAATTTCAATTATTCATATTGAAAAATAAATGGTTATATTCACTATGAATGGCTATAATTTTGTTTAAAACTTATATGAAAGGTATCATATCCTTTTTTTTTTTTATAATTTATTTGATGATTTTTTTTAGTACATTTGACTATAACACTACAAGGAGATGTACCTATATTGACGGAAGTTTTCCATCTGTATAGACCCATTTTCCGTTGGTATAGACCTCCAGGGACTATTCCGACTGAAGAACTTTCAGTCGGTAGAAACCTCGTCAGTATAGGGTCTATACCAACGCCTAATCCGTTTGTATAGACCCTTGGGACTATTCTCACGGAAAACCTGTCCGTTGGTATAGACCCTAAGAAATTTAAAAAAAAATTTGCCGTGGGTATAAACTTTCACCTTTACAAAATGGATAATCCGTTGGTATAGACCCTGGAAAAAATGAAAAAGAAAAAAAACCCATCTGCATCTGTAGCCATAGCAGCTTCATCTGACTAAAATTAAACTCAATCTACTCAATCTCTTGCTCTACCATCACAAATCTCTAAAGAAATTCTAATGTACTAACAAATCTCACAAATTTGTTAAAAAATATAAATGATCAACAAATTCATAACTATTCAAGCTCTCATAGCTATTTGCAGGCAACATTCAAACATTGAGTGAAATGATCATATGGAGAACAATCAGCTACCAATGATCTAAACAAACAAAAATGAAAATCATGCTCCCGTTTCAACAATGTAAATCATTCATGGCAAATCAAAATTAATGAATAACCAGAGTTGATCTAGATCTGAGTATAATGGATCTCATAAATCCTAATGTTGTAAAATTTACAGAAAAGGCACCATACCACTCCTTTGTCTGGATTTTCCAAATTAATATTTGGATGAACCCACCCTGTTCGTATTGCCTGCAAAAAAAACAAGATCATGCTGATTAAAAAAGAATAGAAAAAGAGGTGAAAGAAAATTGGACATAACAGTGCCTATTTAATTTCTTTTTACTCTAACATAACCATAAATGGCATAACCTAGCAATTTAGACTATATCCCCATATACTTTTTCTGAAAATTCAACATGTGATCCATAAATTGCATACCTGCACCGCAGCAACAGCTTCCACAGCACCAGCAGCTCCTAGCAGGTGACCAATCATAGACTTCGTGGAATTCACCCTTAGCTGCCAATATGGGAGATCTTATCAAGAAGTACAGTACAGTAATAATATTAGAAAGAGAATTATAAAGCTTTAGGAAAGAAAAGTATTCATTGAAGATACCTCAGGATTCCTGCCAAAACAATGAATAAGAGCTTGGAACTCTTTAATATCTCCAGCTGGGGTAGATGTAGCATGTGCATTTATGTAATTCACATCTTCCCTAGATACCCCAGACTGTGCTAATGCCTTCTCTATACAGAGAATTACACCAACTCCTGTTCAAGATTGCAGTACATTAGTTCATCCTCTCACATGACACCGTGTGGTGCCAGAATTAAACAAGGAGCACTGAAAAGTCAAATATTCCAGATTTGGTAATTACTGTGAAATTTTTGAGTAATAAGCATACATGATGTTTGGCCCAAAAAAAGGCATATGTGGTGTTCAGGGGCATTAAGTACCATGGACATTTTGAAAACTTTGCAATAATAGGGTAATTACACTAAATTTTTATTTTAATTAGAGCAAACAAATACTAATTTACATACATAATGAAAGAACAGATGCAGGATACCAGAAAATCAAAAACAACACACTCAACAACAGTTCTAAATTATTTTCCTTTAACTATTGTTGATAAATCAGACTCAGCATAAGAAAACCCAATTGATTATTAAGTTAATGATATCTCATCTCTTATGCTTGCACCATATAGTTTATTAAGGCTATAAGCATGATATAGAATTGACAGTTCAGATAGAACACTAATAG